AAAATCGAGCATCCTATCACTTTCAATTTGAATTTTGATTTCATGAAACATTGGATTTCAAAAATTTAATCAAACTCTGAATTTCAAACACCAAATCTTATCACTTGATCTAAATATATTTTTTTCATTTATAAAATAATAATAATAATAAATAAATCAATAAAAATAAATAGGCTTGCATTGGGTTGAAAATATAAACTCAGATAATAATTCCAAAATCAAATGAGTTAAGTCAAAACCCAAATAACTTGGGACGAAATAAGATATTTAAAGAACCAGGTATGACCCAATTAATGTCACCTTGTAGTACACATTTGCACCAAACCTTCCAATAGAATGGCCAAAGCAGAATTAAGTGGTTTTCAGATTCCACTTCATCACAGAAAACACGTTTATTCTCATTATTCCCCAAACAGCTTCTTGCTTGGAGTACTTCCATCACAGTAATACATCCTTTCATTGCTTTCCAAAGAAAGATCTCAACTTTCGACAGGGCTAATCGTTTCCAAATGTTACTTCCAACCGATGGTTCGGTGTTTCCAGATTTTTCCGACTATATTACAAAGGATTTTGGCTTGTAAATTCTATTAGTTATGATTAAGATAATTTATGTATACCACTTGATGCAAGAAGGCCAAGTTAGCATCCCGCGGATTTTGAGTTTTGGTAATGTTTAGCAAAAGTGCAGAACTTTGTGATGAATAAGCAATTTAATCTTCTATTTCCATAGCTATTGCTTTGAAGTTCATTCTATCCGTAGAGATTGTGACATTGTCACCTTCATCCATTTTTATTTGTAGTTATTTTCCTTTCAATGGCTATAATATTTAGAAACTTGTGGTTTCAGCCTTTCAAGACGCTCATGATTTTGGATTGCTGAGAACTTTAAATGAAGTGCGACCAACAGCACATTATACTTTCAAGAAAAGATGTTAAGCATGTACCATTTTTTTTATATAAATTAATCAATTTATAGTTACATTTAATGGATACAAGTGTGTGACCTGGACTACGTTCAGGATAAAATATCTTTTATTTTAATAAAAATATATTTATTTAACTCGTTTGAGGAATTTAATTTGATTCTTTTTAATAAAAGTATAATAATTAATGGATTGCATATCTATAATTTCTCAATTATTTTAATTATTTAAAATGAAATTTTGTTTAATAGTTTTTTATTATATTGTTTAAATTTTAAAAACTATTTTGCTATATTTCTTAAATGATTATTTTTATTATGTAAGTTATTTTTTAACATTACCCCTTTTAGAAATTATTTATTTTATAAATTTAATTTAAACTCAAAATTAAACATGAAATAAATAAAAAATAAAAATGGTTTAGCAAATATTTAAATTTAAATGATTGTTTTTAGCCCAAATTTGTTAGGCTCAAGACTTATCCAATAGTCAGATCCAAGAAGCCTGATGCTTTTTTTTTTTTTCAAAATTTTTTATTTTGCTTTTCAAATACCCAAAATCACTCGTTTTAACCCGTTCAATAACCTATCTAAACTCTAATTATAAAATTTCATTTTTCACTCGTTCTTCATCTTCCATCTTTCTCCCTGTAAAAATTCAACCATATCTTCTCGCCACCAACATCATCTCGCAGGTGACAAAAACGCAAAAAAAATTCTGATCCATTTCAGTCTCATCATTCCTTTCCGGGACTCAGTTTTTTTTGGAATCCTCTCTCAAAGGCCAGATCCAAATCTCTAAAGGCCCAAACTCGCCTTTGTCTTGTTCCTGTGAACGTCCTTTATGGTTTTATCCTTTCAAACAACCCTAAATCTCTTTAAAATCCCCTATACCAAAGATTACCTGCGTTTTTTGGTTTTTTTAGGTGGATTGTAGATTTTTTGTTTTTGGCTGAATTTATTTTTTGGTATTATTTTGGTTGTGATTTTTAAGCAGAAAAAAATTTTTAGATCTAGTTTTTTGTTATTTTAGGTTTTTTTTTTTGAACAATTTGAATTTATTTTTGATATTATTTTGGTTGTGATTTTCGTGTAAAATAATATTTTGATTTAAAGATGGTTTTAAGTGTCTTATATAATCTAGATATGTTTGAATTTAAAAAAAAAAAAAAAGTCAAGAACTGTTTTTTCTCTTTTTATTTTGCGATCAATTTTTTATTTTTTATTTTTTATTTTTTATCTCAGCAGTCTTAAAGTATTGATCAACGCTTTGAGTGTTAAGTGTGAGAGTAACCTCCGATGGGAGTTGATCAAAAGTAAAAAATACCCTTAAAAATGATTAAATGCTATCTTTTTTTTATTATTATTATTGTCAATAATAGAGTAAGGATATAATAGTCATTTAAAATATTAGGCATGTAATAGATGAAAGTTTATGATTAAGGGACGAAATGGATATTTTACAAATTTAGATAGATGTCTCATGGGTTATATTATAATATAAATGATGAATAAGGATATAATAATAATTTAATAATATTGGAAAGTGTCACTTAAAGAATCTTTAGGAAATTAAATTTAATTAAGTGTACTATAAATATATATAATTTATCTTTATATAAATTTATGTATCTGTGTATATTATTCTAGAAGATAAAGATGATGCAAATTAAAAAAAAATTTAATTTGACTATGTAAAAACCTAATTTTGTTAATTTTATCATTTCTATATTGCTCAATAATATTGTTTATTATATATTTAAAACTTTTTGACAATTTTTTTAAATGTTTAATTTTTTTTATGAAATGAAAGTTGGACATATGTATTTTTATATATAATAATTTTTTAAGACTTAGATATAATTATGTGAAGAGTGCTAATTTTTATGTATATAATATTTAATTTAACAAAATTAATTTTTGGATTGCACATGTAACAAATTAATAATTTAAATATTTTATAAGTATATTTATTTAATATAATTTTAATTTTATAAATTATAAACAAAATGTCAAAAATAATCAATCTAATTGTCATATGAGAATTTACTTTTTAAGAAAGGTAACCAAATTCACCTTTAATTTGTTTTTCTCAGCCAAAACGTATTTTATTTATTGGGATCAAAGGTACATATAATACATTAACTATATTGCATTTACTATAATCATTTTACACCTGCCATCAGATTACAATCAACGAATACAAATACATTTTCTTATAACCAAGCATAAAACAGGGTTGAAGAATCCACACCCATTCTAGCCAGTGAGTCTGCAAAAGCATTAGCCTCCCTTAAAACATTCACAAAATCCACCTTCGATGGGAGTTGATCAAAAGTAAAAAATACCCTTAACAATTATTAAATGCTATCTTTTTTTTTTATTATTGTCAATTACAGAGTAAGGATATAATAGTCATTTAAAATATTTTGCATGCAATTGATGAAAGATTATGGTTAAGAGACAAAATGGATATTTCGCTAAATTAGATGTCTCATGGGTGATATTATAATATAAATGATGAATAAGGGTATAATAGTAATTTAATAATATTGGAAAGTGTCACATAAAGAACCTTTAGGAAATTCTTTTAATTAAGTGTACTATAAATGTATATAATTTATCTTTATATAAACTTATATATATGTGTATATTATTCTAGAAGATAAAGATGATGCAAATTAAAAAAAATTAATTTGACTCTATGAAAACTTAATTTTGTTTATTTTATCATTTCTTTATTGCTTGATACTATTGTTTATTATATATTTAAAACTTTTTGACAACTTTTTTTTGTCAAAATGTTTAATTTTTTTATGAAATGAAAGTTGGACATATATATGCATTTTTATATATAACAATTTTTTAAGACTTAGATATAATTATGTGGAGGGTGCTAATTTTTATGTATATAACATTTAATTTTAAAAAATTAATTTTTGCATTGCACATGTAACAAATTAATAATTTAAATATTTTATAAGTATATTTATTTAATATAATTTTATTATTATAAATTATAAACAAAATGTCAAAAATAATCAATCTAATTGTTATATGAGAATTTACTCTTTAAGAAAGGTGAGCAGATTCACCTCTATTTTTTTTCTCAATCAAAAGATATTTTATTTATAGGGATCAAAGGTACATATAATAGATTAACCATATTGCATTTATTGGGATCATTCTACACCTGACATCATATTACAATCAACGAATACAAATACATTTTCTTATAACCAAGCATAAAACAGAGTTGACGAATCCACACCCATTCTAGCCAGTGAATCTGCAAAAGCATTAGCCTTCCTAAAAACATGCACAAAGTCCACCTTCGATGGGAGTTGATCAAAAGTAAAAATCACCCTTAACAATTATTAAATGCTATCTTTTTTTTTTTCAATTATAGAGTAAGGAGATAATAGTCATTTAAAATATTAGGCATGTAATTGATGAAATATTATGGTAAGGGACAAAATGGATAGTTTGCAAAATTAGATAGATGTCTCATGGGTTATATTATAAAATAAAAGATGAATAAGTTTATAATAGTAATTTAATAATATTGGAAAGTGTCACATAAAGAACCTTTAGGAAATTCTTTTAATTAAGTGTACTATAAATATATATAATTTATCTTTTTATAAATTTATATATATGTGCATATTATTCTAGAAGATAAAGATGATGCAAACTAAAATTTTTTATTCATTATAACCCTACAACTACAATTTTCAAAAATAACAATAAAACAAAAACCCAGAAAGTCTCAGTCAAGCGTAACCATGACGCATCATATTCACGGTTAAGGTTGTCCGCCTTTGATTCCGCTCACTAGCATCCTATCTACCAATTAATAACTCTCTACTAATTTTCAACCACAAAAAGTCGAAGAAATGGATTTTTCTTCGAAAATTTTTTTGTTCCAAAGGAGCAAAGAATTAATGTAAAAGATCAAGGCGATCGACCTTAATCACATATCAGTTTTGCTGTCTCGGAGTGAACTGCACGGTCTACTTTTTTTTTTTTTTTACTTTGATTATGTGTTTTTGGGTTACGATCTTTCATGAGCTTAATCATGACTCCTGATAATTCCATCAGGCAACCAAAGCATGAGGTGTTTTTAAGTTTTAGATGTGAAGATACTCGCAAAAGCTTTACTTGTTACCTTTATGATGCTTTGCGAGAAAAAGGAATTGGAACGTATGCTGATTTCAAAGAACTGCAAAGGGGAGAGGAAATTTCTGAGGCCTTATCAAAAGCAATCAAAGAATCAATGATTTCAGCAATAATTTTCTCCCAAAACTACGCTACTTCATCATGGTGCTTGGAAGAACTCTCCCAGATAATGGAATTGAGGCATTCAAGGGGACAGCTTGTGGTTCCTATTTTCTACCATGTTAACCCATCCGACGTGCGGAAACAAGCTGGGAGCTTTGAAAAAGCTTTTCTTGAACATGAAAAGAATGGGATAGAGAAGGTTCAGAGATGGAGACTTGCCTTGACTGAGCAGGCAACTTAAGTGGGTGGCATTTAACCGGAAATCAGAAAGTAAAATTATTTGTCCTATATCAAATACGTACATACATATATATTTCTCAATCATGTTTTAGAAATAGGAGAGGATACTTCTCAATCATGGTGTGATCTAAAATTTTAAGAGAATTTAGACGACATAACTATAGACAACTAAAATTATTTCCAGATAAGATTCTAAGCAAGAGGAAATTGTAGAAGTTGATATATAATTTCTGCTAAATATATGATTATTCAAGTTTTTTTTAATAAATAAAAAATAGAAACTCCTTTTTAAAGAATAAGTAAAACTTATAATCAAGATTCTAGATAGATGAAAATCTTAATTTTTACTTGAATTGAGAGTAATTCATTGTTATTTATAATTTAAGAATAAATTCTTTTTTTTTTATTATCTAAGTTTTCAAAATTTTTTGTTTTGTCATCTAAGAGATAACATTTTTATTAATTTTAACTTGAATATCTTATTACATTATATATATGTGGTGATAGGTCCATTGTCTTTTTAAAAGTGAATGGTCAAAACAATAACACTTATGTATGTTAAGAAATTATATTTTATATATTTTTCATGTATAAATTTTATAGATTGTTAGTGAATCAAATAATAATATCTCATTAATAAATTTTTTTAAAAAAATTAAAATTTTGTCTATTTATCTTAAGGGTTAGTAAAAATTTATGTTTAATTATTGATGAAGTAGTGATGGATCATGACATCTGATCTTGAAGCAGCCAATTAAAATTATATATTTTTTCATTTGTTATGTTATTTAAATTCAAGAGTTAGTATGAGATATAATATGTATTCAATAAGAATATACTAATTTTTTCTTTATTTTTAGATTGTTCAACCCCTATATTCATGTTTATTATATGTGTCAAACACAAATATTTTAAAAAAAATAAAAATTTCGATCAATTAACATAATTTATTTAAAATTTTATTAAATAGAAAAAATAAAAAAGGTCACAAAGATATGAGAAAATAAGTGCTGACTAAAAAAAAAAAAAAACATCTTTGGTATTTGATTGAAAAGTTATTATCTTGTTGAGAAAACTAGAAAGTTAATTTGTTTTTTTTTTTTTAAGTTTACATGAATGTCACTTAATTTTTATTACAAATTTATTATTTTTAAGAGTTTGTGAATAATGATTGTGGATATAATAAATAGAAAAATAATAATGTGATTTTAATTCTTTATAAATTACAATTGTTAAATTTAAATAAAAAATTAAAAAATTAACAAATAACAATTTTAATGTGAGAGCTAATTAAATTAAATTTAAATACATAAAATAATTATAGCATGTATAGTATAATATATATTAAAGGATTGAGCATAACTAGAAACAATTGCTTATGCAGTTGTCTTTCAATACCTACTTATATAAAGAAGTACATCATGCTATCATATGAAAAAGTGGTAAATGCTAGGGTCAGTTTCTTTTTTTTTTTTTTTCTATGAATAATAAATTATGCAATTTTAAAAAAATTAAAAAAGTTAAAAATTTATTACCTACAATTACCAGTTCAATTTTATAAATTGCCAATTTTTTAAACTATTATGATTACACTCATTAATACAACAAATGTTTAAGTTGCTCCTTATTTGACTATCCCTAGCATGGCATTAAAATTTATAATTGATAATATTTCAAATATAAACTCAAATGGTAATAAGTAAAACATTATTTTTCATAAGTTGAATATTCAAAACAAAATATTTTTGAAAAGTTAAATAACTAAAAGGATAACTTATTCATTTTTTTCTACTTACGAAAATTTTGTCACTTTAAATGTTGATGGAAAAGAAGTGTAAATTTCATATGATAGCCTTGAATAATTTTTGAATCATTATTCTAAATTATTACCAATATTATTGTTGCTCATTTGCTAGGCCTGAGCACCTATTCGTCAAGGAAATTGTTCACGATATTTTAAACAAGTTGAATTGCATGTCAAAAAGTGTTTGCACGGGACTAGTTGGAATTGGTCCCAAGTTGAAGCAAATTAAATCACTGTTGTGCATTGGTGGCCAACATCATACTCGCAGGATAGGAATATGGGGAATGGGTGGTATAGGCAAAACTGTTCTTGCCGAAGCTATTTACAATGAAGTCTCTGCTCAGTTCGAAAGTTTCTGCTTCCTTGCAAATGTTAGAGAAGAGTGGCAGAAATATGGTGCAATCACTCTAAGTAATCAACTTCTTTCCAAAATATTAGAGGATGAAAACCTCCATATAAGCAGTCCTAGAATAGGAACATCCAAATTCACCATGGACAGAGTTTGCCGTAAAAGAGTTCTTGTTGTTCTTGATGATGTCAGTGATTTAGACCAACTAGAAAGTTTAATCGTCTGTTCTGATCACTTGGGTTTCGGAAGTAGGATCATCGTGACATCTAGAGATAAACAAGTCCTTGAAAATGTGGTTAATGTAATTTATGAGGTTAAGGAATTGAATTACCATGACTCCCTTCAACTATTTTCTCAATATGCATTTAAGCTAATCCATCCTATTGATGGTTTTGGGCATCTATCAAAAAAGATTGTGGAACATGTTAATGGCATTCCACTTGCCCTTAAAGTCTTGGGCCAGGCACCGTATAAGAAGAACATAGAGCACTGGCAGAGTCATCTAAATAAACTAAAACAAGTTCCCAACGAAAAAGTCCATAGTTTGCTGAAGATTAGTTTTGATGGATTAGATTATGATGAGAAAAATATATTTCTTGATATTGAATGCTTCTTTAAAGGATTTGATAAAGAAGCAACGGTAGATATACTCGACGGTTGTTATCATCACGCTGCTCTTTGTGGAATAAACAACCTCATCGACAAGTCCCTCTTAAATATTACAGAAGACAATAGACTGTGGATGCATGATTTGCTACAGGAGATGGGTTGGAAAATCATTTGCGAGGACCCTATTGAAAGATGTAGTAGACTATGGAAGCGTGAGGATGTTTATCATGTATTAAATTATAACACAGTAAGGAGCATAGTACATTAAAACTTTTCCCATTTTTCTATCCCTATGTCATGGCTGAAAAAAATTGAAGGCCTAAAACCTCAAATCAAACACCTCATTATTGTTTTTTTTACTAATTTTGCTATTGATCATTGTAGGGAACTGAAGCAACTAAAGGGATATTCTTAGATTTTTCCCAAATTTGTGAGGTACAGTTATCTCCAAAGGTCTTTTCAAGGATGTCCAATCTAAGATTTCTGAAGTTCCATAATTCTCGAAAGGGAGTGCTTAAGCTCTCTCGGCGTGGTCTTAAATGTATTTCGGATCGTTTAATGTATCTTTATTGGAAGAGCTGTCCATTGGCGTTTTTGCCATCAAATTTTAGGCCAGAGCACCTTGTTGAATTAAGATTACCTGGTAGCAACATTGAACAACTTTGGAATGGAATGCAGGTATGCTTTAATTATAGTAATTATTTAGTATTTTCAAAAACATTTTCCTATTTTTATGTAGCCAAACTTTGGAGATGTTAATAATCAACTTATTTTTCACTTTCTTCGCACAGAATCTCGTGAATTTAAGAGTAATTGACCTCATTGGATGCAAGAATTTGCATTACAATCCCTGATCTCTCTCGAGCCATTTCAAAAGGTTGAGTATAAGCTATTGCAAACGCTTGGTTCAACTTCCGTCCATGACTCACCTGAAATCTCTTCACTGCAACCTTTTTGCTAGTTGTTGTGCTAATCTTAAGAAATTCCCTGAGCTCCCACTGCATATGACGTGCTTGGTTTTAGCTAGGTCAGCCATTGAGGAACTGCCTGAGTCCACAAAGTATCTTGACCAACTTGTGCATTTGGATTTAAGTTTCTCATGGGTTAAACATCTCCCCAGCACTATTTGGAGCAGTCTCAATAAACTTGCTTATTTAAACATGAGTGGAACAAGGATTCAAAATCTTCCGAGCACCATTCTCAAGTCAGATGCCCTGGAAACTATCTGCCTCTCTGATTGTCCAAACATAACCAGCTTTGCAAACGTTCCAGAGAACATAAAATACTTATATTTGGCCAACACTCCAATAGAAGAAGTGCCATCATCAGCTGCAAGGCTTAAAAATCTTCACGAGTTGAGTATGACGAACTGCAGAAGGCTGAAAACCTTCTCAACTAGCATTTGTATGTTGAAGTCTCTTCATAAACTTGATCTCTCAGGTTGTTCAAATCTGGACAATTTCAAAGAAACCAAGATTCCCCTGTTGGATGACTATATTACATCGGTGGATGATATAAGGAACCTGAGTATCCGTAGCGGCTTTCGCAATTTGGGCTCCTTAACGTCTCTAGATGTAAGTGGGTCAAATATAGTGGAAATTCCTGTGAGCATCAAATAGCTTCCTAATCTCTATTATCTTTGTTTAAGGGATTGCAAGAGCCTTAAATCGTTGATAGAGCTTCCACCTCATCTGCTACAATTAGATGCACATGGATGCACTTCATTAGAAAGGGCATCGATCACACAACAGTTTCGACACACATTTTATGAAGACAACGCTCGCTTCGACAAAATGCGATTCGTTAATTGCTTCAACTTGGACCGAGATGCAGTCGACAACATTCTGGCTAACGCACTGCTCAAAATTCACTGCATGGCAAAGGAACGGGCAAAGGGATGTTACGAAAGACCAATTCATCATTATCTTGATATAGTTGTCGCTTGTTCTGAAAGTTTGGAAAGGTTCGAGTATCAAAGCACGAATTCTTCAATAACTGTCAAGCTGTCTCCAGATTGCAAGAGTGATAGAATCTTGGGTTTTGCTCTATGTGTTGTGGTTGATTTCGACAACAATCATGAAAACATGGACACTCGAATTTTCTGTAAATTTCAGTTAAAAACCAAATGGGGCGATTACCATAATTTCGAAAGTGAATGGGCTTCTCGGATGTATAATTATGGCCTAAATGCTTTGAATCGAATCACATGATCGTTTGGTTTCATGGCAGTATGCTTCGAGATGAGCATTACGACGAAGCCTTGTTTGAATTCTACATAACAGATGAATACTGTGGGAACACTCTAGATTATATCAAGGTGGAGAAATGTGGTGTTCATGTGTTCTATGTGGATGCAGAAAGATGTACTACTGGCTCTGTTTTCAAATCCAGCGAAATTCAGCTTTAAATAAGGAGAGAAATTAAGGAACCAACGGTTGAGATATTGGATTAAAGCAGTCGTACTGCTTTCATTTCTGTTGATTCAATGTCTACTTAATCTATACATCCCTAGATTAAAAGGATCCCAAAAGATAATGGACTTTACGTCTTGCATTTTTATGGGTAAGTTTTTGGGTTGGACTGTCTTTTGTGTTGCTTAGTTCTTTGGGTCTGCCATAAATCTTTCATTGTTGATTTCTGTTTGTAGGAAGCTTCTATTATTTCTTAAACAGTTTGAGAAATTATTTCTTTCTTACAGTTTCATGTCAAATTAATAGATTGTCAACATTAATTCAGATTTAAAAAAAAAAAAAAAGAGTCTGGTGCGTATTACAGGAACAGTGGTATCAAGTCTTTATGCGTCTCCATGTTATTCCCAGGTTATGATTGATTCGTTTCTTTTTCTCATTCTTAGTTTTTGTATCATGTAGTTCTCTTTTTGTTATTTTTTTCATTGTGTCTTTCTTCTCGGTTAAAGGTTTTTTTCCTTGAGCTTTTTCAATTTGTCTCATTTTCTGGCTGTTAATTTCAACTTTTTATGTCTGAAGCCTTGAATTCTTTCCTAGAGTTTGATTTCTTGGAGAGGATTGGGTCTCTGTGTAGTATGCATGTGTTTTCCTTCTTTGCAATTTCTTCAATTGGTGTGTTGTGCTTCAAAGTTTCTTTACGACTGATGACTTAAAAGATCTTGAACATGTTTTCTTGTTATTTTTCGATGTTTTGTTTTATTGTGTTGCAATAATTTTTTAATTTTTTTTTTCTGGGATTTACGTGTTGCTTGATTTCACTTTGAAATCACTAATAGTGTTCTTTTGTTCGGTAAAAAAACTTCTAAAGTTTTGGGTTCTTTTCCAGTGTTTTGTTTTATTTGATGTTGTTATCATTTTTTATGAAAAATTAGTTTTTCATGGATAATTTGTGGTTGCTTTTATGTTGACCTGATCAATTTGCGTTATTTTTATGATTAATGGAAAATGCTTCGAATGGAAAGTGTCTTTTATTTTACATGTTGTTTGAATAGAGTTTTTTTTTTTTTTTAATTAATTATTGCTATTTTTTCCAGACTTTGTTGAAGGTTTTTAGCTAATTAAATTTGAGGTTAGTGTAGAGTTAAGGATTTGTTGTTTTACTGTTGTCGTTTTTTTATGTGATTTGTTTTTAAGTCATTACACAACGTGAATGAGGCTTCATAGATGAAACCTAGATGAGGAAACCACAGTTGAAATTACAGAATTTGGTCACTTGGTGTTGGATATAGGCGATGAAAAATAGAATGTACAGCACATGAAAAATGAAAAAGAGACAACTTGGATAAAAATCACACTGGATTTGTTAGTTTGTTGCACTGGTGCCCGTGGTGTATGATGATATCCAGCGAAATTGTACGAAACCCCTGTATCTAAAATAAAAAGTGTTGATTTAATTAGTTGTTATGTTCCCGATTTGGTTTAAGGTGAAATTAGAACTTATTTGAGTAATGATTATATTTTAATAAGTACAGAGCAAATTGCCAACCAAGATTTATTTTATTTTATTTCTAATCATAAATTGAATTTGAAAATATATGCTATTATTATGCTTTTAAGAGACAAAATGCAATAGTATTAAACTTTTGGTCCATTAACTTTAAATGTTATGGAGGGTAAAATTATATATGGTACTCATATTGGTGATAGACTGTTTATTCTTAGATCATGAATTAAATTTGAAAATAGGTGTTATTATTATGCTTTTAAGTGTGATAACTCTATAAAATAAAATTATTTTTAATGCTTAATTTTAAGAATTTTATTTAGTCCGTGGTAAAATAATTTAATTTCCTTCCTTAATTTGTCTAATTTGTGCATGTGTAGGAAAATTTAAAAAAAGTTAGAAAAAGATGAATTCTTGAACAATTTGGCTGATTTTTGAAAAAAAAAAATGTGAGATTTGTCCTAGCGAGGAAAGGCCGAACCAATTGATGCAAGTTGATAAAGCCATCCAGAATTTTTACAAGTTAAATCGGAGCAGAATTGAGCAGGGATTTAGTGCAGTTTAGGCAAAACAGTGCAGAATTTAGTTTATGCAGAAAATTCAAAGCAATCTTGGCAGTGCTTAAAAAGTTCAAATGAGTTTGCAATTTACATGCACAAATTCATGCATTTCCTATATCAAGCAGTGTTGGGTTTAAGCTCAAGCAGAATTCAGAATTTTTATGCAAGTCTCTTGTAGGTGCACATGCAGGGGATAATCTTTTAACGACGTGGCAAGTAGCTGAATTTTATTGGACAATTTGGATGACTTGGCATTAACCGCTGTAAGAGTTCAAAACCGAAATTTGTTCCCTATTTGGCTTGGTATTTTTGTTGAATTACAAGAGTCCAAGACAAGATGGAATTCACCTGATGCATGAGAGTTTAAAAGAAGTAAACTTGTCTTCTGTTTTTAGAATCCAAGTGGTGGTAGAATTGCAAGATGTCAAGGCTAAGATCAAAACAGAATTTAAAATTCTGTTTTCCAAAGGAGTCTTCAAGCTGCAAATCAAGAATTTTCAAGGCTGTTTGAAACAAGGCAGAACCAGACCACTCTCCTTCTTTGGGAGACGTTGAATTAAACCAAGAAGCAAAGTCAAATTTTACTTACTTTCTTGAAATCAGATTTCGCTTTTCATGCAAGTCCTTCAACAGTTCAATCCTCATCAACCTCTTATAAATTCAAGTCAACTGTACTAGCTCATAAATTCTCCATCTATAAATAGTTCAAGAATCAAAACAGGGAAGACAGAACAACCTCCATCTAGTTTTAGTTTCTTTCTTCTTCTAGTTTATTTCTAGTTCTTTAAGCATCTTTAAATAGTTTTTATTTTCTAGATTTTGCAATTTAAATTCCAGTTTTAATTCCTTGCAAATTTCAATTCAGTTTGTTTAATTTAATTTTCTGCATGCTATTTTAATTTACAGCTCTCATTTTAGTTGCTACATTAGGTTCTTAGTTAGATTCTGCTTTACAGTTTTCATTACTGCATAAAGTTTTAACGCTGTTTATGTTTACTCCAGTAATCTACCTACTGCGTTAAGTTACAATCCTGTTTTTAGTTCTTGCAATGTTCGGTTTAAATAGTTTGCATGTTTAAATTAAGTTTAGTTACTGCATGTTAATTTTGGTTATTGTTTTGCTTATTCATTCAGTTACTTGCAATCTTGATAAGTTCCACATTTAGTTTAAGTTCATTTAAATTTTGTTTGCATAATTTAATTTAATTTAATTTAATTTAATTTAATTTCGATTTGCTATTTAATTTAAATTGTTAATTTTTTGTTTGCATATTAAGTTAGTAGTTGCTTATTTTTTATTTTCTGAATATAGTTAAAGGTGTCAATTTTAGTACTTAATTCTCTCTATTATAATCTTTGTGGGAATAAACTTTACTTTTTACTTTATTACTTGATACAATTTTATGCACTTGTAGATTCTCAATCAAAGAGATATAAACCAACACTTAAGTTTATGCAAAGGTACTAAACTTTTAGTCACTCAATTAACTTCAAATGTTATAAAAGGAAGAATTATAAATGATACTCATGCCAATGATAGAGTGTTTATGCCTAGAATTATTTAGATTGTTAAGAACTAAAAATGATATTTTGTTTTAAATATGAAGTAATTCCTTGTAAGATGGTGTTATAGCATAGCCATTAATAAAAGTCAATGGCAAACACTTGACATTGTTGGTCTTTTCATGCCTGAGCCTGTTTTTACATAAGGACAAATGTATGTACCTATTTCTAGAGTAACATCTAGGCAAGTTTTACAGATTTTAATTCATGATGAAGATGTAGATCAAATGATGAAACCAAAAACATTGTTTACAAGGAAGTTTTCTAGAATTTATGTTTACATTAGTGATTGGTTACATTTTGACTCATTTTTTGCTTTCATTCCTATTTCCTTTAATTCAAGCATTTTGTTTGGTTTATTTTAGCAAATTAATTATTCTTTTGTTTGTTTATATTTTTATTGGTGGTGCTGTCTGAAATTACATGCTTTGTTTCGATAGATTTTGGTTTGATTTTTAGGTCTTAAATAATGAACTACTAGTTTTTGGTGAGCTTGATCATTCAAAACATATAAGAAAAATAAAATTCAGAATAGCAAGTCTTTGGAAAAGTGTGAATCTTGTTTAACCAAAACTTGTTCTTAGCTTAAAATTTGTGGGAACTAATGCACGAGTTAGCCAAACTTTACAAAATATTTATTACTATCGAAAACAGTAGCTCTTTTTTCATGGATGGTCATTTTATGCTTCATTTATGTGAATATGATTTTACAAAGAAATACAATGCATTTTTACATAAAAGGTGATTGCTACTTTTTATATAACTTGCAAGTGCATAGATTGCATTGTTTACACATCTACACGTATCAAATCTTATAAATCAAGATTTTACACATTAAAAAATACCAATTTCATGAAAATTTTCAAAATTTCAAGCTAAAATTGACATATAAAATACTATAAATTTAACAATTATCATAACCCTACACTTAGCTTTTTACTTGTCCTTAAGCACAATCCTCAATTAACTATGCTAATAATCAAAATAAATGCACACAAAGTGAAAGTTCACAAGTCATCAATCATGTACTTTGGTATAATATCAAGATAGTTATAACCATAATTAGATATAAAACTTAATCAAAAGTAAGCTCTCAATTTCATGCAACTTTCATATATGTGAAGTCAATATATCTCTAATATATGCATACAATCTAAGCAAAAAGTAAGTATCATATGCCATCACATATAAGCTTAAAGATAGTGTATACTTCATATGTTTACTTTCTTCATCATCTCTTCACTATTGTAGACTTATATACTTGACTCAAGATCAATAGGCCTTTAGAGGTTTGTAACGTACAACATGGGTTAAGGTAGGAAAAAAGATATTTTGGGCTCAAAACCCTATTTGCTTACCCATTTTTTTAATC